TAAAATGTCCACACTACCTAAAGCAATCTATGGATTCAATGCAATTTCTATCAAAATACCAAGAGCATTCTTCCCAAAGGAGAACAAATAACCTATAAATTTATATGAAACCAAAGAGACTCCAAATACCAACAGCAATCTTGAGAAAAAAGAACAAAGTGGGAGGTATTATGCTATCTGATATCACAATATACTCCAAGGCTATAGTAATCAAAACAGCATGGATAGTGGCATAAAAACAGACATATTGATCAATGGAACCAAATATGGAGCCCAAAGATAAACCTGTGCCTATATGGTTATTTAATATATGACGAAGAAGGCAAGAACATACAATGGGGTAAAGAAAGTATTCAATAAATGGGGTTCGAAAAATTGGACACTTGCAAAAAAAAAAAAAGATTAGCCCTGGCTGGTGTGGCTCAGTGGCTTGAGTGTCAGCCTGTGAACTAAAGGTCTCAGATTCAATTCCCGGTTAGGGCACATGCCTGGATCGTGGCCCAGGCCCCCAGTAGGGGGTGCGCAAGAGGTAACCACACATCGATGTTTCTCTACCGCTTTCTCCCTCCCGTACCCTCTCTGCAAAAACTAAATAAATAAAATCTTTAAAAATTAAAGTTGTTTAAAAAAATTAAATTAGACAACCTTCTTACTATATGCAAGAATAAACTCAAAATGGATTAAATACTTAAATGTAAGACTTGAAACCATAAAACTTCTAGAAGAAAGCACAGGCAGTAAAGTCTCTGATATTTCTCTTACCAATAATTTTTTATTATATCTCCTCATGCTAAAGGAAGAACAAAAAAATAAATAAATGAGACTATATCAAACTAAAAAGTGTTGGCACAGCAACAGAAACCATCAACAGAATGAAAGACAACCTACTGAATGGAAGAAGATATTCAGCAATGACATATCTGACAAAGGTTTAATATACAAAATTTATAAAGAACTCTCACAACACACACACACACACACACACACACACACACACACACACACAGAGAAATAATCCAAATGAAAAAATGGGCAAATAACCTGAATAGACACTTCTACAAAGAGAACATAGAGATGGCCAACAGACATTTTAAAAAATGCTCAAAGTCACTAATCATTAGAGAAATGCAAACATGCAAACCAAAATCATAATGAGCTATTACCTCACACATGTAAGACATCAACAAACAATTGTTAGTGAGGATATGGAGGAAAAGGGAACCTTCACGCACTGTTGGTGGGAATGCAGCTTGGTACAGCCACTGCGGAAAACAGTATGGGGTTGCCTCAGAAATATAATAGCGGACCTGCCTTAGGACCCAGGCATTCCACTTCAGGGTATATATCTAAAGATACCTAAAACACTAATTTGAAAGAACATATGCACCCCTATATTCATTGCAGTGTTATATAAAACAGTCAAGATATGGAAGCAACCCAAGTGTCCATCAATAACATATGGATCAGAAAGTCATGGTAGATATATACAATGAAATATTATTCTGCCATAAAAAAGTGAAATCTTAATATTTGCAACAGGATGAATAGATATAGAAGGTATCATGCTATATGAAATAAGCCAGAAAGAGAAAGACTAATACCATATGCCATCACTTACACATGGATTCTAAAGAACAAATGAACAAACAAAACAGAAGCGGACTCATAGTTGCAGGGAATGGAATGACAGTTGCCAGAGGGAAGAGGGTTTGGAGGACCAGGTAAAAAAAGTGAAGGGATTTAGAAGTATAAATTGGTAGTTACAAAAGAGTCATGGGGATATAAAGTGCAACATATGGAATACAGTCAATAATATGTTAATAACTGTATAGTGACAGGTGGAGACTTGAAATATTGGGGGCATCGCTTTGTAAAGTATACTAATCATCTAATCACTCTGTTGTACATCTGAAGCTAAGATAAAATAATATTGAAAGTAAAATGTAAATGAGAAACTAAGTTTTAAAAAAGTGCTCAAGACAAAAAAAAAAAAGAGAGGTTATCCAACAACTACTTGAGGATGAGGCATTTTTGCATTACTTGAAAATCTTAACATTGAAACAAATAATGCTATTACTCATTTAACTAACTTAAATGTGTAACTCAGAAAGTTCTACTGCCCAAAAGAGAGCTATTACACAGGGGCTAAGATTAACAGGAAGAATTAGGAAAATTTAAAATCAAAGGGTCAATGCACTGAAATGACATTATCATATCAACTGAGCAGGATAAGAAAGAGAAAGACTGGCTCACTCCCCTGCATCTCTAATCTTAGCCGGACTGGATCCCAACAGGGAATCCTCAGAAGCCATTAAAGAATCTTTCAAGAAGGAGGCATAGGTAAACACATCCCACCTCCTTGTACAACTACAGCAAAAATTACAATTATGCTACAAAACAAATATCACCCAGAATCATCAGAAAATTGAGCTGTATAAAAGTCTGACAACCAAGGATTTAAAGAAGCCACAATCATGCAGGCCAAGAGGAAAGATGAAGATGCGGAGAGGTGGAGAGAGGCATGGAGACGGGGAGTGGTGCAGGAAGGTGCAGACAAGCCTATTGGGAGGTCCCACGCCTAGTGTGGTGGATAAAAATCAGGATGGATGCCTTGGGAACAAGGCCCAGACCAGACCACCCAGCTCGGGATTCTAGCACCAGGATGATAAGTCCCAATAACCTCTGGCTGGAAAAGGTAGTGGGGGTTGGAGTGATGGAAGAAACTGTGGGATTCTCAGGGGACTCCCCTTAAAAGGGCCCACAACAGACATAGGACTTATGCACTCCCTCCCTCCCTCAGGGATTCTGCACCAGGGCAACAGCTGCAAGGGCACCAGTGGCATATGGGAAGAAACTGAAGTGACTGGCATGAGGGCGAGTGCTGGGAGACAGCTTCCTTCTGGGAAAAACTCCAGTGGCCACATGGCGACACTGTCCCCTCTCTGAGCCCTCCCCGACACATAGCCACAGAAGGGTGACGTGGCTAGCCCGGCTCTGGCGATAACCCAAGGTTCTGCCCCATACAACTCAGAGGAGTGCTTTTTATAGTAGGCCACACCACTAAGACAGGAAGTCAAAACAGCTCTACCTAATACACAGAAACAAACACAGGGAGGCTGCCAAATTGAGGAGACAACGAAATATTGCCCAAATGAAGGAACAGAACAGAACTTCAGAAAAAGAACTAAACAAAATGGAGATAAGCAACCTATCAGATACAGAGTTCAAAACACTAGTTACCAGGATGCTCAAGGAACTCATTGGGCACTTTAAGAGCATAAAAAATACCCAGGCAGAAATGAGAGATTATTTCAAATGAAATAAAGAAAAACCTACAGGGAACCAACAGTGGAGGGAATGAAACTGAGAATCAAATCAATGATTTAGAACATAAGAAAGAAAAAAACATTCAATCAGATCAAGAAGAAAAAAGAATTAAAGAAAAAAATGAGTATAGGCTAAAGAGCTTCTGGGACAAGTTCAAACTTACCAACATTTACATCATCAGGGTGCCAGAAGGAGAAGAGGAGGATCAAGAAATGGAAAAGTTATTTGAAAAAAATAATGAAAACAAAACTTGCTGATTGGTGAAGGGAATAGACATACAAGTCCAGGAAGCACAGAGAGTCCCAAACAAGATGGACTCAAAGAGAACCACAACAAGACACATCATAATTAAAATGACAAAGGTCAAAGATAAGGAGAAAATTTTAAAGATAGCAAGGGAAAAGTAGGTAGTTACTACAAAGGAGTTCCCATAAGACTGTCACCTGATTTCTCAAAAGATACTTTGCAGACTAGAAGGGACTGGCAAGAAGTATTCAAAGTCATGCAAAGCAAGGACCTACAAGCTAGGTTACTCTATGCAACAAAGCTATAATTTAGAATTGAAGGGAAGATAAAGTGCTGCCCAGATAAGGTAAAACTAAAGGAGTTTATCATCACAAAGCCATTATTATATGAAATGTTAAAGGGAATTCTGTAAGAAAAAGAAGATCAAGACTATGAACATTAAAATAGCAATAAATTCACAACTATCAACAACTGAATCTAAAAAACAAACTAAGCAAACAAGCAGAACAAAAGCAGAATTATAGATATGGAGATCATTTGGAGGGTTATCTGTTGGGAGGAGGAAGGGCAAGAATGGGGGAAAGGGTGCAGAGATTAAAAAGTACACATTGATAGGTACACAATAGACGGGGGACGTTAAGAACAGTATAAGAAATGGGACTTATACACATGACCTATGGACATGAACTAAGGGGGAGATTGATGGGGGGAATGGGGGTGCTAGGTGGGGGGGGTCAAAAGGGGAAAATGGGGACAATTGTAATAGCATAATCAAAACATTTTTAAAAAATCTTTCATACCAAACACATCTACTGGACACACATTAGTGATTAATAAATATAACCCACCAGTAAGAATGATTAGGTATGTGCTCTTAGAGGCAGAAATCATATATTTTATCTGTGAGTCCTAAATAATATTGACAAGCATACTATTTACATGTTAAGTTGATTAAAACTCATAGGAAAACTGTATTTTGCTATCAAATAATCAGAAATAGGGTTAAGATACACTTTTTTAAACATAAGGTGTTAACCTAATAAATACTTACTCCAAGCTCATTTTGGGAATGAGCTAAGAACCAACAGCCACAACCAAAACATGGCTGACTCCGACCAAAGCACCAGATTGCCCCTTGCCCCAGAACTGCAGCGCAGCACAGGGCATGTCGCTAGAAGGACTTCAGTGACTGTATAACCTGCCCTAAGGATATATGTCAAAATCAGAAATGTAACAGCAAAGGAGATTTTAAAATCCTGCATCACTGTTTCCAAATAACATAATTTCAAGCACAAAAGTAATTTCAAATATATTGTGATTAGAGGTAAGAAAAATGCAGAATCTATAGATTCATATGATATCATCAATATGCTTGTTTTCATTATACAAGACCAGAAATTTATTTTTACTTTAAAATTATTTTCATCGGTAGTTGAAAATCACCTGCGGTTTTGTTCGTGACCGTGGGTGAGATTCGGTGCCCAGAGTCTCCGTGGGCCTCAGCTCACCGCCCATTGTGTGTGGGGAGGTGAAACCCAGGCCCCGACATGTGTCACGAAAGGAAAAATAAATAAATAAATAAATAAATAAATAAATAAATAAATAAATAAAATTATTTTCAGCATACACAGTTTTGGACAATGCCATTCACCGTAGTCACTAGAGTGAATATGACTTGATGTCATCCTTGGAGTATTCAGATTATTTAAAAACAAGGTAAGTAGAAGTATGACGTGCTCTACACCATTACAGCAAACCACCAAAGCTTATCGTAAAAGTCAAAGAAACTAAGCCAGCTGATAAAGCAAAGTCAGGTAATATCTCAAAATATTTCAAACCTTCCCGTGTGTTCTGGTGGTCTCATGATGCAGTCTGAGAGATTTATTCTAGTTTCCCAAAGAACAAGAACAGAAGAAGAAAAAATGTTCACCACATATTTCCTTATTATATAAGTTGCAATATGCAGAACACCAAACATTGTAAGACTGTAAGTTTCCTCTGCCATCCAGGGAAAGAACTGCACTTAATAAACCAAAGTGTGTTGATACCTCAGTAATCTGTTCTTGTCAAAATCTAACTCTCAGCTCTTGTACTGCATATCTAATCCAGCTCTTTCTTTCTACAATTACAATTCCTGGAGAGGAAGTTTTTCTAATTAAAACAGAAGTCTACACAACTTCCAAAAAAAAGATATAAATGTTGATATTTTAATATAATATCCCATGGTATTTTGCATAAAGAAATTAAACTCTTTAAAATGAATAAATGTTCAGAGTAGCAGTTAGTATTATTGGGAATTAGATTCCTAAATACAAGAAACAATAAAGCTTCTAATATAGCTCTGCCCTCCTAATAAGAAGGTGCTGATTTTTTCCTTTTTAAATTTCTTTCTACTATTTAATCAAATCTGACTGTGCTTTCTTACTTGGAAAACAATATTATCATTTTTAAAATCAAAACTTTTAATGTTTGATCCTTACTTAATTTTTAGTAAGATCAAAATATATGCATTTTTGCTAAACCCCCAATGGCAATAAATTTAACATTAATATGCAATGTTAAAGAGATTTAATTTAATAATCATATGCATAATAATAGGGCTCACACTTTAAGTTATCATCTTATAAAATTATATATAAATAGTCCTCTACAGCCAACCACTTTTCAATAATTATATAACTTGGAACAAATCATATTTTTGGATAATCCCTTGAGACTGAACAGACTTAACTGAAATTCTTTTAAATCCACTATCAATCATAATAGATGTCTGTGGATACTAGGAATAAAACTAAAAAATATACTATTTGTCTTCTTGAAAATCTGCTACATCTGTAACATCTGAAACCTTTTAATACAGCAGGAAATGAACATATTTTCTTTCACCCTTCTCTGTTTTTAAAGGTCCAACATCTCTAATTGGATTTTGCATGAGATAGTGCTCTAACATACTTCCTAGCTTACTCTAGCATCTTAGTTTTCTGTTGTAGAAGAATTAAAATTTTCAAAAATATCTGCTATGATCTTAAACATACAACTCTATTCTCAAATATAACTTCTAACATGACTGACCATTCGTTAATAGATGCTAGGTTTGAAGATATCTTAGGTTTCTCTTTCTGGTTGTACAGCGAAACTCAATGTTCAGAGAGTCCCTTTATGTATAGAATACATAAAATTTTATATAAACAATAAAAATATTTCTTCATCAATGTATCATTTGATAAAAAAAGTAAGTCTCCCCAAGTCTAGAAACTGCAAGGAGGCAGGAATCAAGAAGGATAGAAAAGCTCTGAAGATGGCATCCTCTCTGCCTCTGTCTGCAAAACTATGATGAACCAGGACTTCGCCTTTAATGGACTTGGCTTCAAATGGCTGGACTGCAGAAACCACAGAAACTCTATACCCCTCAGGAAACCATCTGGGTAGATGAACTAGAAACAACCAAACAAAAGGAGAAGATGGATGTATTATCGATCATATTTGGACAAACAGAAAAAAAAAGAAAAAAATTCCCTGGGAATTCCTTTACATAAATATACCTTCATAAAGTTTTAGGGCACACGGTATCTGTTGTCCAAAGAGCCTCAAATCAAAAATATCTCTTAAGCTACAGCGGCGGCAAAGATAAAATTGATCCAAAAGTTAACATGGATGTTTCCAAAATCATAAAAGAAATTAAGTCCACTGAAAAATGTATACCCTCTCATAAATAAAACATCATGCTTAGTTAAGTTTTGCAGGTAAATTCTGCCAAATATGTATGGGAAATGGTAACTGTAATCTTCTATAATATAATTCAGGAAACAAAAAAAGATGTGATACTCTCAAAATTATTCTGTAGTGTTAATCGATTCTAAAACTGAACTGTGACACCATAAGATCAAAACTGCCAATCTCACTCAGAAACATGGGTGAAAAACAAATTTAGAAGAATAAAACAAAGTAAACACATTATAGCTAATTCCTCCATTGATTTCCAGAGATGCAAAGGAAGTTGACATTAGAAAATATATTAATACAAACTACCAAATTAAAAGATTGAGTGTGTGAAAAGCCACATCGTTATCCATATAAATTCAGAAGGAGAAACCTTAAGCTAGAAAGAAATATTTACTAATAAAAGTTATTTCCAGAAAAACCTATAAAATGCACATGATTAATGGTGAAATATTAAAAATTCTTTAAAAAATAGGAATGAGGAAAAAAACCTGCTGTCATCACTTCTGTTTAACCCTATAATATAGGTCCTAACAATAGCATAAGCAAAATGAATTGAAAGAAAGAAAACTGAAATAAGGGGAGATATGAGGGCAGGACTTCAAAGATACTGGTAATCATTTTTTCTTAAGTTGCAAAATGGGCATTTCTTTTACCAATATTCTTTAAATGTCACAAATATAAAGTGTATGTGGGTTCAGATATATATTTGTCAATGAAAAATATATTTCATAAATATTTAATAGAAGAAATGTTATAGAATGTTAAGAATCAAACACAAAAGCTAATACGGATAGCAGAATAATTTAAATTCATACTTAATCATATGCTAGTTTCAATTCTTTTAAAATATAAACACTGGTAAATATATTCAATCTAAGACAACACTAAGTTTAGATTTGAGAGCTTTTAAAAGCCCCTAAAGGTTGTAAAAGTTAGTTACAGATGACCTCAAAGACAGGAACAGCAAACAGTATGTCACCTGCTTCACTGATAATACCCCACCATAGGACAATTTTTAGTGAGTCTGTTGCGATCTAGAAGTTTTCTTTACACACAACCTACTCACAGTCATTAGAGCTAGTGCAAAAGAAAAGAATTGTGTGCCATTCCATTCTTAGTGGCAAGAAAACCATATGGTTTTGAACTTCTGTGAATACTCCATCCATCTCTTCTGAAAAATAACCATACTTGATTTCCTCAAGAATCAAATGTTTAAATGGGCCTTAATTTAATGATTCAACAAATTTACTTTTTTAAACAACTTAGTCTAGTTGAGTGAATGACACACTTTCATTCTATTCTTGTTAGCCCTAATATTTCCTATTTCTCTTTTCTGCTCAAAGGAAAAGAAATGAACCTTTTTGAAAAGAACAACACACAATTTCTTTACCCTGATTCAGCTTTGTATTATTTTTCTCTCAATCAGCCTTTAGTGATGTGCTTAGCAAGCTATCTCTTACATTTCTCTGTTACAAATGAAAATCTTGTATTTTACAACTCTGATCAGGCCAGTTAGTCTTAACAATATACTATACTGGTTTCCCTTCCTGACTTAACTGCTTTGTTGTAAAAATCTGAACATCTTTTCAAAAATGTTCATTTTACTTTAGAATAACCTGGTATGTTATCAACAAATAAAATAATAAAATTTACTACTTCATTTCAAAGCTAGCTGATTAATTGTAGTTCATCATAGTTAAAGAAAATACTAAATTAGAGATAAACAAGAACTTAGATTATAAAATCCACAACATATTAGTCAAGTTTCACATGACTCAGAGGCTTGGATTTCACTTGAATTATAAGTTGTTTCCTAAATAAAATTATATTCCTTCAACATACTTCTTTCTGGAAATCTGAAACAATGAGAAGATGAAATAGGAATATCAATTTTATTGAAATCCAGTAAGAAAAGCTGTCAAATGTTGCATAGCTGAAACAACTATTTTATCTCTGCCTTAAAAAAGAAAAACTAAATGGGCAATATTTGTTATTTGCATTAGGAGGGGAGGAATATAAAATGCTTGTGTAATTAGAGTTTCAAGTATGTGCATCATTTTATATACATACTTTATATTGAGCATTTCACATATTTACATTAGAAACAGGCATTAAAAATAAACTTTAGCTTCTTAACAAAATTTCCTTGGATTAACCCTGCATAATTTTTCCTAATTATTTTTTAATAAGTTGTTTTCATACCATTAAAAATCAGTCAAATATATTCTTTAAAGCAAATTGATAAACAAGCTATTCTAAAAAACTGATTTGACTTTGAATCTATAACTTAATTAAATGTAAATATCTTTTAGCATACCAGATATGCTACCCATATGCTATCATTTTTCTTTTATGTCTATGTGCTCACTGATCTGTTTATCTATAATAACTTCATTAGGCTGTGCTTACGACCTTAATTAATAAGGATGTCAGCAAGTCACTGGTTTTAGGGAATAAAGCAATGAGTTTGAGATGCTGGCAAATCATCCAGGTTGAGAAGTTCCACATAGATATGAGGTCATGGGAAAATAACTTAGAAATTCGATGACACACTTATTAACCTCATATTATTTACCAGATAGTATTTTAATTAGATTCTACACAGAAAGGAAAATAGAGGCAGTCTTTGGACAGAACCCTGATAAATCAATCTGGAGAGGAGGCAAAACTGTAGGAGAGCTGTGGAAAATGAGAATATAGTCAAAATTGTGCAGTGCCTTGAAAGCCATAGAAGCAGAAGACAATTGTGCCAAATTCTACAGAGAGCCAGACACAGGGGGGATTTAGATGAGGCCAAGAAAGGTGGTCATACATTTAACCACTTTGTA